GATGAGGAGGATCTTCCTATTAAAATTAAGAGCCCATACTGGGTGAGTACTTTCTAAAGGTGCCTAGCAACAAGTTTTTGTGTGTCAGATCCAAAAAAAAAATAAAAGTTTTTTTTTGATTCACCCTAATATATATATATATATATATACGGAATATTGCGATATCGTTTTTTCCTAACGTACTCTTTTTTTCTTCCCTTTTTTGTTCCTTTTTTTGTTCGTTTTTTTTGTTCGTTTATCTTCCATTTTTAATATTACCGACAAATATTCATCGTACATTTTAACCCTTCTTTGCATGATTTTTTCTTTTTGTTTTTTTTTTTAAAATAAATCAGGGTGATGTAATTAATGCTCTAGATTAAAGGAAAAATATTTCAAAAAAATCCTAATGCTATTTTTTGACAAATGCGTTTTGTTGTACGCAATAGTCGCTTAAAAAGTTGCCAGCAATAACAAATATACAGTACAAGGGTTTTTTTGAGTAGCTTTTTTTGTTGACTAAATATTATGATTGAAATTTCCATCATCATGCAAAGAAGGGTTAACCACACTCGTTCATTTTTTATTCGGCACGTAATTATCGTAACTTTGTAATCTAATCGAAACGATTATGATCCAATGATTATCTTTTCCTTTTTTTGAAAATTTTTCACGTGTAACTTGAGAGAGAGAGTGAGAGAGAGATAGCAATTGAAAAAGAACATAAAAAAACAAACCACATAATTACAATTATAAAGAAATTCCTGTAAGCATGTTATATTTTTGTTAAATACGTACTTTCAAAAGTCGACCAATAATTCTGACACAAAATTTCGATTGACGAAAACGTGTATCTTCGTAATTCCACCATACAATGCGTATTTTTGTTCATATTTATTACGTTTCTCTATCCAACGTCCTTTCCTTTTCTCTTTTTTTTTTTTTATTATTATTTCTTATTCGTATTATTTCAAAAAGGATCAATTTTTTTTAAATGCATGCTTCGATATGCACGTTAGTCATCTCGCTGGTCCTCAACTGATTGTTTACGTGAAGCTCCGACGACGCATTACTGTGCACCAAATCTTGTTTCTTGTGAATTTGTCCGAGATCTCGTACCGGTCCTATTGCTGCACAACAACTCTCCAATGTTTTTCTGAACGCCGCACGAAAATCACGATTGAAGTATGCATAAATCAATGGATTCAATGCGCTGTTGAAGTAGCCTACCCAAAAAACTACTGCAACTACAATGTCACCGCATTCACAGGCATCGCAGAGAGATGTAATGACGTACCTATTCACAACATAAAGAAAAGAGAACAAATATTATAATATATTGTTCTATGTATATATATATATAAAATAATATAGTAAAGAAATAATATTATTATATAATTATATTATATTTAATATAAAATTTAATATATATTATATTTAAATTTATATTTAATATATT